GGGCTGGGAGAGGGGCTCCGGGGTCAGGGGTGGCCGGGCTGTCGCGGGGGGACGGTCTCCAGAGAAGGTTCCGTGCCGGTGCCAGGCTGTCCTCCCCGGCTGCGGGGTGTGCATCGCCTCCCCTCAGCGCTCAGCCGCTGATACAGCAAGCTGCCCGGTTAGGAAAGGCCCGACAAGCCTGAAAAATTAGAATTCTGCCTGAAAAGTTAGAATTCTATTTTGCATTTTCATATCTACTAAAGTGAAACTCACTGTGTGCCTCTCAAGGGCTTGTTCGGGCTGTGCGCTCTGTAACTGGCTGCTGTGCGTTTCCCCACAAAACACTGGCTCTTGCCTTCCTCCCCCTTTCTCTTATCAGTTTCCCGTGGTGCAAACGACTTACCAACACTTCAATGCAATCAAACAAAAAGAAACTGTGTTTCTAATTTAAGAAGCTTTTCCAGTTCTTTTCACTGTGTTCTTCTCTGTCACACACCTTCTTGCTGCTAGCTGACACGTCAAGACAGTATAAAGTTGAATAAAGAGAATATATAAAATGGACTTCTCAGAAGTTAACAGATAAAGTGTTGCTTTGTGTTAGGCTAATTTTCTTTTTCATAAGCTGTTTATACATGATAAGCTTTGTTGCTGCTGATATTTCAGTTTAAGGTAGATTTCATAGTAGTAAGTCATGCATTTGCTGTGTAGGAATCTTGATATTAAATGCTGAAAGGAAAATAACTGTAACAGGTAAGAGTAAAGAACTGTTCTAACTACAGCAGGTCAAATTCTGAGCCTAAGCCAATGATACTACACACAATTCCAGCTTTTAACAAGTATAATCATTATTATGGAGTGAACAACCCTTTCATGTTGACTCTCATGTTTTCCAAATACAGGACTGGTGCATACCATCAGTGCAAGACACGGAATGAATTCTTCAGGTACGAAGTATATTTCAGTGTCTTCTCCACACACCTGCAACATGAGTAAAAAACATTTTCCCCAAAGTGTGGTCGTGCAACCAGGTTTTCATCCTGCAAACTGGAGAAGGGAATCTGTCAATGACGAGGGCTCTGCCTCAAGCCCGCATGACTCCCAAGCGTCTGATTTTGAAAGCCTTCTTCGGGAGAGACGGTACCAGTTAGAACTCCAGCAGCGGATTTGTCAAAATGAAGAGCTGGTAGGACTGTATTCTGATGAGTTCGAGAATGACAGCTTAGAAGAAGATAGCTTGGAGGAGAGGAGTTTAAAAGAACAAGGAGCTGAGTATGACACAAATCAACATACAAATGGAATCCAAAAGAATGACGGTAATGGAAGGTAAGGCATAGGATTTTAGGAGATGAGTAGAATACTTCTGACACTTTAAAACCTTATGCTCAGAATATACATTACATACTCAAGACCAATTTATATGCCAAAACGCTATTAAGAGTGCTTACAGACTTAGTTATACACAAAGATGTACTGTTTCATCTCACCCACATTCATCATTATTATACCCATTTTTCCAGCATAGCCTCAACGGTTTATTGGCTGAAACACCAGTGTAGGAGAGTAAGATGGAAAAGAAAACACCCCTCACAGACCTGTATAGGGTCCCCACATGCTGACTCTGGACACTGCATACATACAGAGGTGAATGCTATGTGCCTATATAGTTGCCCCTGAAACAGGCAGGCAGGAAGCTGGGAAGTGGTAAACAGAGATATTCTAATCCCTACTCTTAAACATGAGCAGGTAAGCTAGCACGGGAGCATTTAACTGCAGTTTCTTCTAGTAAAGTCCAATTCAACGTAGATCCCCTCTTATTCCTGTCTGCTTGATCCAGAGCTGCAGTCAGTGGAAGGAGTCTAATGACTGTGATGGGCTGTGGACCAGGCTCTCCAATATTTAGCAGGATGTGCTGGGTACCATCGCAAATAGGCAACCCTTGCCATGAACTGTCGGACTTTCAGATGGTGCAGCAGCTCCGAGATCTTGGGTTAGAGTGTTTCTGGAGCTGGGCTGTGAAAAAGGACCAGAGAGAAAACAAGACCCAATACCAACCCATCCTCTTTTCGTTCCTTACAAAAAGACCTGTGCTGAGGTAACCAGGCCACTTGCTGTAAGAAACATACAGGCAAAAATTGCTGGGTTGGTTAAATGCAGTTTTGTTCTTATAGCTGTGTAAGACTAAAATTAAAAATTACAGGGTTACCGTCACCTTTAAACATTCTTTAGAGAGTGTTAATGTGGTACATAAAATAAAATTTAATTTGCTGTTGCATGCATAAAAGGTTTAAGACTGTATAAATTGGGAATAGTTCTCAAGTTTAGAGGGATTAAATTAAACCCAAAGTAATAATAATGTGCAGTTTCAATTTAATTGTCTATTTAATATAAAATGGCAAACAAATGAAGGCTAAATGATTAATAGCATGCTTTTATTCACCTCCTCAACTGGCAAAATGGCCAGTTATTGAATATTTTATTGTGAGTGCAAATGATGTTAATTGTACTAGAAACATGCTCTAATTTTTAGTAATTTTTTTGACTGAATACTATGCTGAATATGAGGCTCTTCATTAAATGGAAATTTGATTTTATTTTGTTTGAACTTAGCCTAGTAAGTACTCAAATACCGTCCATTAACCAGAGCAAATATCACAGCATATGCATATGAAACTCCCTCTCTACTTCCATTACTAACCTCGGAATTTGAAGAGGAAACGCTGCATCTGTTGTCTACAGACAACACTTTTGTTGATGAGTACAGAGTCCATCTAACCTTTCTATCAAGTTGGGGGAGGAATAAAAGGTGCACTTTTTGTCTGCAGATGATTAGAGGTGAAGGAGCTCTTCATGCTCATCCTGTTCCCGTGCGGCGACCTGGCCTGTGTAATACCATGGAGCTGCTGCGCACACATTTCAGCACAATAGAACTCTTTAGCGTTATTACTCTGTTATTTGAAACCTTGCAATTATATCACATAGTTCCGTACTCATTTCAAAATATGGTCACCTATTTCTGTTTACCTGTGGTGTATGACAACTACAAACAAAAATGTTTTCATCAATATAAATCAGCTAATCTCTAGTATACAGGGTACCACGGCACTAATGCTTACCTGAAATGAAAAGTAGAGAAACAGGTTATTTTGTTAGTAGGAGGCATTTGAAATATAGGCATAGGCATGTAACTAATTCAGAAAGGCTGAATAAATGATTTATGGAAATGTTAATATAATTAACTATGCCACAGCGTGGGGAATCCAGCAGATCAGTACATTTCTTTTACTAGGGGCTGAAAAGTCAACCAGGTTTCAGTGCCTGTAACTGTCACTTTGAAAGGCTCACCATTTCTCAGTGTCCAAGAAACCAGGACTATACTGCAGGTCCAGTAATTTCTATGCTAAATTTAGGATAAAGACTGTATTCTACTGTGATCTGAATGTTAGGAATGAAAAATTAAAGGTCCTGCCTAAATTTTCTATTAAAAAAAGTTTGATAAACTGTTCTGATTGCAATCCCACAAGTGGCTGTACTGTATGCACTGAAATAATTTAGTTGACTGTATTTGCAGGACATTTCTTGGCTCAAATTGCACACTGCAAAAATATAGAATTTATAAAATTTAAGCATAAATGTGTTTCTTTTTTTAAATAGGAAACAACAGCCTGTGGACAAATATTTCAACCTGAGATACAATCCTAACTGGAAGAACACAAAAGAGGCAGCAGAATTTTCTGGGGCAAAAAAAGCATGTCAAGTTGCTGGAGGAAGCAGCGTGGTGGTTTCACAAGATTCATTTTACCTCCATTCCAATGGCTCCGCAAAAGAAAAGAATCAACAGGAGACAAAGTCACAAGATTCACTCTCAGAGTTTGGTCCGGAATTACCAAGCTTTCATAAACCAACTGCCGTGGTCAGCAATGAACCTTTTAGGCTCCATACCAAAGGGAAGGGATCTGCAGCTGCCTGTCATTTCAAAGATACTCTCAGAACACATGGCAGTACTTGTTCTCTTCAGATTCAAAAAGATCAACCACAAAGAGCAAAACAAGACTTTGTGGAAAAAAATAAACGGACTTTAGGAATACGTGCAAAGATGAATTCCTATCTTCAATTACACAATAAGAAGAAAGAAGTTCTCCAAGAGCAGGTAGGGAACTTTTACATTTTTTTCTAATTGGTATAAACTGAGGACTGTCTAGTGTTCAAGTGGAATAGCTGCATGATCAGGTTTGCGGAGGAGATAAGTAGGTTTACAATCTATCATGCAACTGATAACTTAAGATTTCCAATGAGAATCTTGTTGGCTCTTTCTGGAATAATTGCCAAGTCCTCAGTTACTCACAACCCCTTGTTACAAGCCTAGTTAAACTGTGTATATTCTCAGCCATGAAGCATGTCTGCATGGTTACATAGGTGATGCTGAAGAAATGCTGTCTTCTTTCATGTGGGATCTACATTGCACCTTATCAGCGGTTCTTTTTTTTCCACTTTTGATTTTTCTCAACTTGTCCAACATGAATTTGGGAATGATTTTCTCTGCTAATAGTATATTCCCGGTTTTGCTCAATGCAGCAAATGCAAATTGCTTCTAATAGCAAAACACTCACAATTTATTCACTAGAGTAGGAAACCTTGAAGTCACTGCTTGGCTTAAAAAGCTGCGTTAGTGTTTTTCCACCTGCACTGATCGTAACAGAAAAAAGTACACATGAAGTTACAATTGAGTTTGAGAACCAGAAAACATACTGTGGTCACACAGCTTTCGAGGGCCATGCATGCTCTGTCATTTAGGGTCACACATGGAGAGATATCCGAGAAATATGTGCCAGATTGGGGTGGTCAGACAACTCTTTTCCTCTACTTGCTTTCTCAGCCAGACCAAACCTTGTGTTTGAAATCAGTGAGCAGGTACTAGTAGATACAGTACTTGGATTTGAAAGGCCTGGCTTTCTTATGGTTGCAAAATGTCAGACAACTTGTATTAAGGATTAAGTGGAAATGTAATCACAGTTCCTAATGAACGATTATACACGAGTTTGTTGCTTTTACTTGCTACTGATTATGCATAATGGGAAGGTGGGAGTCATGGAATCACTCCATGAGTTGTAACACAGAAAATTCTTAACGTGCAAAACTACAGAGACTTTCTGCTTCAAGTGACACGTTTTCCAAGGCTAATGAACAGTGGACACAACACTAGAGGGCATCTGCTGCCTGCGTTACAATGAGTGCAACGGTGGACAAGATTTTTCTAGCAGAGCTATTAAGAGCACTTGTGTTTTTTTCAGTTATAATTTGGTTGATGGTAAAAATAATTAGTGTAGATTGATGCTAATTAAAGCTGTGTTGATATGATTATGTTTACTATTTGGGGAATTCTGAAAATGTTTCATATGTAAGTATTGTATAGACACTAGTCAAAGATATGTAATAGAAAAAAACCCAACCTGTTAAAATCAGGGCTGTGTTCTAAGATCACCTTGCTGAAGTAGCCATGGGGACAGCAGAGCTGTGACATAGCAGGAGCCAGGCAACATGTGTGTAGAAAGGTGTGTTTTTTTCCTCAACAAGTTGGTACAGCCACAACAGCATCACCACCTGCTGTCAGCTTTGTATTTGCTGCGGATGGGCACAGGAAGAAGTACTTACCTCTCCTGTTCTTAATCGAGACATCCATTGCTCCATCTTGTTAGACGGGTGAAAGAAGCCTGGTGGAAGCATCTTGCAGAGCAGAGTTGGCCCATGAGACGACTTTTGTCACCTCAGCTGGAAAACTGTATTAAAACTGCAAAACCACCAGGTGTCTGGAGAGGCAAACAAACCACCTGTCTTCCATTGGAGCAACCAAACATGTTCTGAATACTATTTTTTCCTAAACTGTATTATTTTTAGCTTTGCAGGATGTTGAAGCTGTTTTTGTGGATAGGATCACTGTTGGCTGTCAGGTACTGTGGTAACGAAATAGAGTTTACGTTGAAGTAAGGACTTTGTGTAGAGCTTTTTTCAACTGACATAACATTAGGTAAAATATTTGCAGCCTCATTCTTGCGAGATTTTCAGCTGTTATCTCTGTGCATACAGGCAGCAAGCTGTATGTGCCAGACCATACCATAAATGTTTGTTGATCCGTATATTTACTAATTTATATAGCATTTGATAAAGCATCAAGTTCTCAGTGTTGCCTGATTCTTAAAGAACCTGATGATGAGAGAGAAAGAGAGAGAAGCAGTGGCCCAATCTAGCTCAGCTGTACTCAATATGAGTTGCTTTCCTACCTACAAGCCCCTTACTTCAAAGCAAGGAACATAATGTACAATTTTTTAATGGCTCTAGACCAAGGCACTCAGGCTCTCTGTGCACTGCGCCTTACCTCAGTGTAAACACCTAATCAAGATTGCGTGTGCTTCAACAATAGCAGCCAAATGCAATTCGAGAACCACAAGCCTTTGAAGTCCTCACTGCAAAGGCCGGTTTTCTAGTCTGGGATAATGACATGCCATGATTGCTGTCTTTGTTGTATCTTTTCAGTAGAGAAGCAATTACGGGCCTCAATTTAACAGAATAGGCATTACACAGCTTATGATGCTCAAAATGCAATTTCATTTGATCATTTTCTCAATTTGATTGGTATTAATAGAATAGTTCACAAAAAATGCTGGCAGAGGTTGTGTCCTGTTCCTCTTTCAAAGAGATAATGTAGAAGTATGCTTTACCTGCCCAGTAAACTATCAATACAGTGAGTCAGTTGGTTCCGCCAAAAACTGACTGCAACGCTCCAGCTATCCACAGTTCAGGAAACCTGGGTGGTAATTTTTAATTTGTGAATTTTTCTAGCCACAACTAATAGAATCTGTGTTGCCATTTGGAGCAACGAGATCACCTGAAAACTCACCAATAAACCCTACCTACCTTTTCCTAGTTGTCTTAATCTCCCACCCCTAAAGATGAGAAGCTCAGCTCCCCAGAAGGATTTAACACTTCCTTCACCATTATGATTTTTAGTTAATAATTCTCTTGGTCACAAATATCTCCTCAGTGCCAGTTCTCCTGTGTTAGGCAGTGTCACCCTGCAGTGGCCACACGCGTGAGTCCAGCACATAGTTAGCTGTGGTCTCTGCAGTGAGACTGCCTAACCATAGTGCTTAGCAGGATAGTGTGGGACAACACAAGTATAAAGAAAACAATAAAAAGCACTGTTTTCCCTAAAGTTTTATAGATTGGGGAAAAAAAAAAGGTTTGATGCTTTCAGGAAGAATTTTCATTATTGCTATGTTTACGAGCTTATCGCTTTCTTTGCAATCTGTAGTGCCGGCAGCCACCCTCAAAAAATTGCTCGAATTTTATTTCCAGCCATCGTGCTACCACAACTGTGGCCACGTGAATACGTTCTTCTTGTTTGTGGGCTTGCTGCTTTGCACAAGCTGGATGATATTGTTGCCAGGCTATGTGTATCAGATGTTTTATTTCTGCAGCTACTCCTTGTACTTTTCTACCAATATAACTGTGTTTTCCCGTCTTTTTCCACGTGACTATTGTTCAAGACCTTGCTATGGTGTGCGTCATCCATCGATATCTTGGTACACTGGCTGACTGCTTGGGCAATGATGATTGTTTGGTTGCTTTTCTGTTATTAGGTACATCCACTGGCTCTCATATGTCGGAGAAGCCCAGAGATTTGAGAGTTTGTCCTGGTTTCAGCTGAGACAGAGTAGGTTTCTGTGCTGCCTATTTCCTGCAATTTTCTTTTCCTCTCTTCTTAAAAGTAGAAGGAATACGTCCAGCTACCACACCACTGTTAATTGTTTTCTCACTTTCTTTTTTCTGTGTTATCTCTTTTAGCCAGTCACTTTCTTGTTATCGATTGTATAATGCCTGACTTCAGCATTTTAGCTTTAGTAGGAGGCAAATTATTTCTTATTCTTTCCCCAAGACTTTTAAATCCTTTCATCTGGTTGGGCTGTGGCCATAAACATTCTTGGTTTTTAGGTTGCAGATCCTGAAACTGTTGATGAGGAACCAGTTCAGAGTGCCCTACCATTCCAGCCTGTGAAAATGGAGCTTGAAGAAAAATGGTACCTGAAATCACAGCAGCTCAAGGTTCCCTTTTGATAGAACATGATAATTGAAATATATATTTAAAAGCATTGAAGTTTGACCATTTAAAGCAGTAATCTCGTTACTTTTAAAGTACCAGTTACTGACAATAAATCCTTAGATATATATCAGTATGATGAAAAGCCAAGACCTTCAGAACCAGAACTTCAAGCCAACCGTAATTATTATTAGCAAACCTAGTTATTATCTTTGTGTGAAATGTATTTGCAGTAATTCAGGCAGATTATTTAAATTCCCCACTGTTCACTTAAGACTGGAAGCTGCGCATCTGTAAAAGACAAATACAATTTAATGGTGCTGTTCATTGAGAGAGATGTGCTTTATATATGGACTTTCAGAATGAAAGAGGTATTTTACAGGGTTGCTCATTCCATTTGCATGGGAAAACATTGGCCTAGTCCCAGTTTGGCAGCAGTTCATGCTTTCCACCAGTGGCATGGTATGCCAGAACATTAATTGTTACAGCAGAGGTCGAGCTAACAAATCATCATCTTGGCACCAGGAGTCAGGATTCCCCAGTGCTAAAGCTTTCACTAAAACATTCTGCTCTATATGTGGATTTAATACCTACCATTAAGTAGTTATTCTGAGTGCATATGCTATGTAGTGATTGCAAGTGTTGCTAACAAAAGAACCCTAGAGAGACAGGAGGATGAAATGGAGGATTTGAGCACTGACAAGGATTAAATGGACTGAGAATGGATTTGTGTATTCCCTAGAAGGAAAGCCATGTCTTTCCTCAAAGTGGGCAACACCTGATGCTGTAATTGGAAAGTGATAAACCTTAAATAAACTCCAGATTTAGAGGATGTCAGTTTAGCTGACATATTATTTAAGAAATAGCTACACGGGAGGCATTGTGGCAGGCAAACTTACCCATACACTTGTATGTTGTTGATCTTATGAACACATAGAATAGCAACCACTAAAATTCACCCCACTTTTGATAACTTGTTTTAGGATCAGCAAAATAAGTCCTCTCAGAAAAATAAAATAAAATCCAACCAGAGTCTCAAAGGGAGAGCCTTCCAAAGGAATGGTAGTCAACAACCACTACGAAGACCAGCAGAACCAAAGGCTCAGCACCACAGGCACCACCAAATACCGGAATTGCAGCCTGCTCCCGTGCAGGCAGTACAGCAAGACAACAGCAGCCCGCTGCAGAAACGGCTGTATCCAAGTCCTTCTGTTGGCCCTGACACTAACACAGAAACAAATTCAGATACTTGCTTAAATAATTTCCCAAATTCAAGACATATTGTTAATCGGGATTTTATCCCACCTACCAATCCACTTCATCCAACATTACGTAAATTTAACCGGGCAGAGGTTCTGTCTCCAGCGTGTACCAGCAAGGAGAACAAGAGATACCAGCATGGTTCTCCAGGTGGACTTCCACACGACCAGCAACATGTCACTGTGCAGCTTTTTCCAGGAGATAACAGTACCAATGGTCGAGCATATCCAAATCAGAAGAATATTTCATCTGTTTTTAATGGCAATTTTCAAGAATTGGTGAAGGGTCAAGTATCACTTCAGGATTGCAAAAGACACATTCATGCGGATAAAGAATATCAGAAATATGCTATCAGTAGTTTAAGGTAAGGATATAAGTGTTGAAACAGTATTATCATAACACTGTGATGCCCAGACAAAATAGAAATGGACAAGAAAAAGTTTTAGAGTCCAAAGTATAAATTATTTTGCTACAAACCTGCCACTATAGATTACTACTAACTTAAGATTCATTATATATATTGATTTTTAAAGATGGTATTGGAAAAGGACAGTTCTGTCCTCCAGCTTCTTTGCACATAGAATTTTCCACAATTGAAAGTTTCCTTCTGAAAGGCTAGAAGGTGAAGTTTAAAAAATAGATAGCAAGGAGCACTGTGCATAAAGTAAGTCTAGTGCTAGCTGCACAGAGTTATATCAAAACGTGCCTTGCAGGGTGAATATCCAGAGTCCTTCCAGTGCTAATTCTGGCTCACTACACATGGGGAAGGGCATGAAAATCCTTAGCTATGTGGAATTTCACCTGCCTTGATAATAATGAAGATTTTATTTCACATAGACAATTAACTCTTCCGGTACTCAGCAGGGCCAGTCTAAAGCCATTTAAAGGCAGTTTTCATTGGTTTAGACTAGCTTTGCATCAGGCTGAAAGTTTCCCCATCTGTAATTTTTCCATTTATTTTAAACAGTTTTCAGACACTGGGGTGCAGGCAAAGTCATTGTGAAATCCTCATCCTTTTGTCTTCATGTTCGCAGTATATTATGTGAGCAAGGATCATTCCATGTAGAGATTGTTTGCTGAGCTATCTGCTGTATGCAAATAAAGATTCTTATTTTTTCCTCCCTCTTTCTTTTTCGAGGCCTTGTCAGTCTGCTGTTCACAGTTCGCCAACTGCCCTTTGGACAAGCTCCCAGTTTACACAAATGATGGAGCAACACCACCAAGAAATCACTCATTTGACAGCAGCTCACTTAGAGGACGGGCACGGGTTCAGCCTACTGCCACATACGATCCCGGGGGTGGAAAATGGTTCAGAGATAGATCCAGAGAGCGGTGAAGGCAACCAAGTGAAAATAAGCCGAAGCAATTCAGAAGGATACTTCATGCAAATGGAAAAGCAAAACCAGCCCAAAGTCAGCAAGAAGGTGAGCAAATAGATGTGGATCAGATGGTTTTACATTTCTGTTTCCCCCCCTGAAATATTCCATCGTTACAGAGAGCACACTGCCACACACTGACTTGCCCAGAGCATTAAAAAACAAGGAACAAAGGTGGAAACAGACACCAAAATCATCTTAGTCTAAAGAGCAACGCGCTTCACCACCACCTCTCCCCGTGTCACGTTCAGTCGTGATTAGCTCTAAGAACACAAAGAGCAGTGTTTGTCCTTTATGTTATCCAGTGATAAAATGATTTCGAATAAAGCTATTTGTATAAAGCAGCAGGTAGCCAGGCTCAGATCTGAGCAAACCATTATCCCGGTCATGCTCATTCGCTATCCAACTCAAATCTCTTGGTTTCCAAGGGAATCAAACTGAACAACAACAAACTTACAGGATTAGTAAAGCTAACAGCACAAACATTGTTACAAGTCTCCTGATTATCCCATTTTGGTCCTTATTAAAACTTGGTTCTTTTTGTCTTTTCTGGGTGTCCGGTTTCATACTGTAACCAGTTAACAGACGGAGTGGGACAGCATAGACATAGCCATGTGTGTCCATGACAAATTAAATGTTTAAGAAGTTAGCTCCGAGTCGCAGGGCAGACAAACTAAGCTGGAATAATTACTCATGTGTTTCATCTAGGAGGCAGTTTGTGTATTGCTGCTTGAATGCCTCTAAGAAGAATTAGCTGGATTATGATATTAACTGAAGGGCAGATTTCCTTCCCTTTCTGTTCCCCTGAGTTCAAACCGTTGCTTCTGCCCTGTATTTTCAGTAGCTTTCTCACACTTCATACGTGAGGAATGCCACAGAGAATAAGATCATTTATGTCTCAGAGAAATCCAGCTTTTCCTAACAAACCACTGCGGTCGTACTCTTGCATGAAGTGAGAAAACCCTGATTTTGTTGTAGGCAGGCAAATTACTAACTCCTCACAATACCTTAAATGAAAAGTTAGGTGTAAGCATACCACAGAAGAACAGGGATAACTGACATAAAGAAACATCAAATAGAAAATTCAGTGTGCAGAATTAGTTTCTTTGCTGTGAGTTTAGCCTGAACACATCCTTTGAAGAAATGCACGTTATTTGTTGTTGTTTCTGCATTACTCTGTGGTTGAAATTACTACAGAGCTGATCATAATGAGTTTCCACTGACAAATTTTTAAAATGCAGTCCAATTCTAAAAATTAACCTAGTGTTCTTGAAAGAGATTTAAAAGATTCTGCAGCTATTGGGGTCTTTGCAGTCATGTCACAATTGAAATGGCATCACCCATCACTCATCTTCTGTCTTCCCTATGCACTGGTAAAGCTTTTGCTGTGCTGCAAGGCGTGTATTTTTCAACTGCCTGTGAACAATTTTCCGTTGCAGCTTTGAGAACAAAGAAAGGTTACTATTACTTGTAACATTTGCCTAATTTTTTTACCACCAAAATCAGGTACTTTTATCTGCTCCTCTTGTAACAGCCTCTTTGGAGTTTCATTCTAGTAACGGTCAGATGGGTCACTTCAAGCTGTTTAAAAATAAAGCTCACAAAAGATCATTTTTGACTGAGAAAGTATTGCTTTGTGAGTTGGATGCCTGGCAATTACCCAGCTAGATTCAAAGGAAATACAGTGTCATTTGACTTGTGCAATTAACTTGGTCTTTTTGGTCACTTACAATCCCTGAAATGAGACCTGCCAGAGGTAAGACTGAGACTGTGGGTCGAATCCTGCTCTATCTTCTGTCTCCCCTACAAGACTTGCTTTAATTAGGCTCTCCATTAAATCGTATAAACGTCTGTCCCTGCTGTTTGTTTTTCAGCCATGTAGCTCAAAAGCCTGCCTAAATCTGAATGTGAAGCTTGGAGGCCTGGGACCTGACTATGAAGCAATCAAAGAGAAAGTAAGCAGTGCCTGTTACGTGATCTGCTTCTCAGCTGTGCAAAGTGAACTGAGGCAGGGGAGAACGGCAAAGAAATCACTGCTGAGAAGCAACTTGTGTCTGTCTGGTAGTTCGTGTCCCTGACTCTAGGTCTAATTCTTCCTCCTGCCATAAATGAAACAGATGAGAGGTCTGAAACTGGAACGGACAGAGTGGTGCGTAGCCCAGGGCTCTGTGCCTTTTTAAACGCCATCACAACACTTCTGGAGCCTGGCGTGCCACTGGGGTATCATTGCACTGCAAGGAAATAATTGACGTTGGCTGATAACGGGGGCAAGGTAGAGCAGGCTGCTGAATTTGAGTACAATGCGTTGCTGGAAGTAAGGGGACAGAATAGCAGTTAAGTAAATGAAGCATGTCATTCGGGGCTGTAAAAGTAAGTACAGAGGTTTTAAAAGTCTTTGCAAATGCTGACAGAAATAGCACAGCCGTTTTAGAAGTAAGAGATATTGAAACATTCAGAATAAGGATGCATCTGTCGTATTTCTGTTGAGATCTACTCTCAATACGGTCAAAGAAAAAGCTCTTAAAAATTGACTAAAAAAGCTGTGCCATTTGTGAGGATTTCCTGTTGTGTTCTGCTGGGGAATGATCAATAGTACAGCCAGGTTAAATAGCAACAGAGGTGTAAGTGGAAGCCTCCAGTGGAAAAAGTGTTTCATTGACGGGTCCACTGAGATGTTTAATTAACCGTACACTTTTTTCCTTTTGTCAGAAAGAGAAGTTAAAGCAACAAAAGGAATATGCAAAGCAGATTAAGGAACATAATAGGAAAAACATTGGTTCGGTTCAGAGGTTACCTACAAAACCCAAGGTCTTACCTTCAGCGTCAAGACAGAGGGTAAGAACAGAGACCCTTTAACATGCATGCAGGGATTGATTCTGGGCTTTGCACAAAGGAAAAGAAAAGCACAAAATTAACTCACAGTAAGCTAAAATAGCTTCTCTATTTTGATTTTCCTTTTAACAACTCTACAAGACCTTAATGAGTCTGAAAAGAAAAAGTGTATAAACTTATTAGACTCATGTTGTTGTTTTTCTTTTTCAAAGACAAAACACTGTTGCTGTGTTTAAGGTGGCCTCCAGTGGTAAGTATCGGAAAGCAGATCTCCTTGAGGTGGGTCATTTTTCCCACTGCAGGAGTTTCTTGCAGTCGCCACTGAAGCATCTAGTATTGAACACTGTCAGAAACAGGATCAGGAATTAGGACAACTATTAATTTGACTCAACATAGAAACACCTGATTTTTTTTTTTTTAATATTGGTCAGATTTTCTCTTAATCGGTTACTCCAATTTTCATGTTTTTAGGCGCTGGAATATGCTAAGAAGATTCCTAGACCAAAGATTTTCACAGCAAGACAAAAAGATGAAGAGGTGAAAGAGGAAAGAGTTCTGCCACAGACTTTAAATGGACACAGTTTACCTCAAATTGCATGCTTGGAAACTTTGCAAAATAGGCATGAGAAGGAGAAGCAAGTTGTAGCTGCTTTCAGAAACCTTCATATCTTATAAGGATTTTGAAATTACTAGGGGTATCTTCAAGGCAAAAATATCTGAACTATTTAATTATGAACTATGACCATCACATCGTGATTTACCATTCCATTCAAATGTAAAGTGGCTAAAGTTTAATCATTGTTAAATTTTAGAATCAGTTCTACTGTACTTAATTTTTTAAAATGTAAAGAGTTGCTTATGTAACATTTTAAGTGTGGTCATCTCTGTCGTTATTTTTCTTTGAAATCAGCTGATGTAGCAGTTGCGTCTTTCAGACTAACCAGCCATTGGCTTGTCACAGCTGAATCATTTTTAGACAAGTCTACAAAACATCTACAAAACAGATCTACAAAACATTAAAAACAAACATCAGTTTCATTTGATGATCTTAATACCAGCAATGTTTCTCTCTTTGAAGTACAAAGGAGACTTTGGGAGACTGTCCAGAAAAAAAGACAAAAATAATCCATTGCTGGTAAGAAAGAGAACAAAAGCGTGCACCAAACATAGCAGTTGGTAATGATACTAATTATTCAAATATTACTGTGTTATCTGTTAGTGAGCAGTTGTCAGATCAAGACCGAAATTTTGAAGCTTCATCTGGGACAAGAAAATTCAGAACAAGTACTGGCTGATCATGCAGACAATCTGTTATTAGCCAGAAACAGTTGGAAAATATATTGAGTAACTAGGGATAATTGAGGGCTACATGTTTGAGAGGGAACAGCTTTTAACAGATTAAATCTATAAAAATAACAACAAACAGATGGGTTTCTTACGATGGTTCTGTTTCTTTAACTTAGTAAATTATGATTTAAGTCAACATATGAAATGTGATTAGAACACACAGCAAGGGAATTTTGAAGAAAACATGCTAAAATCTCTTAGAAAACAGGCTAGTTAAAAGGAAAAATACCCAGACTTGTGATTATGTGTAATTGCTTTATCCAATTTATTAGGTCCCCTTTTGTATGGGACGAGAGAGAGAATTAGTCTTTGGGCATAAAAAAGGAAAAAAAAAATAAAAAAGAGTTGAAGTCTCCTTGAAGGAGGCTGACATAGGAAAGGTAAGGTGGGGAATAAAAGAGGGGGTATCTTTGAAGTGGCTTTCTCTTTTTCTGTATGCACCTCTTGTTAAAGGTAAAAATAGAAACGTGTAAGACAACGTGGTTCTGGGTTAACCTTTCATTGGCTGGATGTCTCACAGGAAAGATAATTTTCCAGTAGGTGTACTGTGAAGTCAAGGCACTGGAGCTACAACATATATTGCTGGAAAAGTCCCATACCTTTCATTTTATAGAGTCCTGGGTGAGTTTGACCTACATCCTACAGTCCTCAGGATGCCTCAGTCCTCCTGACAATGGCTTGGTTACTGAAATACACCCTGCAGGATCTCCAGTCAGGCTCCAAACCTAATATGGGAAAAATTGATCAGCATCCTACATCTCTCCATCATGGAAAAAAGACAGGTTCCTTTCTTTAAAGCCCTCCTCCCCAACCTGAGAGAGAGGAGGCTCTCCACCCTCTCGGTTGCGTCCCACCACACGTGCTGAATTAGACAGACTTTGCAGGTGGAGGCTTGTGATGTGCATAATCTTGGGGGGAAACTTGGTGGAAGAAATGTCTTTGGACGTGGGTCAGGTTGCAGGGGGAATGTTTTGCGTATCAATGTGCAGCATCTGCAAATGTCCAACTTCTGGAATAGGAGGGTCCTCTGCCTCAGCCTCCTTTCTGCTCACCTTTGGGAACTGCACTTGCCCCCTCTTTGCAGAATATGCATGCCTGCGGTGTGATCCATCAAGCTAGGCTGGGTAAATGTTTCCATGCTCTGCCAGTTGCTGCTTTTCTACTTTTATTTTTAAACCGAATGGTAACACTTCGAAGCATTTCTAATTAGGGAACCTCAACTTGTTGTTTCTGCTTAAAAGTGATAATCCCCCCTTAATACAAACCTCAAGTACCTATTTTAATGAAACCTTCAGATGAATATCAAAGAGCTATTTACTCGTATCTAATATTTTAATTAGATTATATTCTCAATTTAACCCATTAAACCCCCTTTGATGATCTCCATGTTTAGTGTTTAGCCCCAGATGCTGGAGGTAATGAATATTGGACCTTTGATTTAATGAGAACTTCTGCCTTTCCAGCCTGACTCCCTTTGTATCCCCCTTTTTTATTTTCTGAGCTATAGAATTCAGTTAATTGAAGAAGTCTCTTACCACCACACATTAAGGAACCTAAATTAGCATCCCTTTTCTGATTAGAAAATGCAAGCAGACATTTTCTCTTTGATCTGAGGATTGAGTTGAAGTAGGCAACAGCCCCCTGAAAATGAGCTGATGGCCTTATTATTTGGCTGACATGCAGATGCGTCCATGTGGTGCAAAATGCTTAATGTCTTAATTGATCACCTTCCTCCCTGTCATCCTACTACCTTTTAGAGCTCCCATAAATTAGGGTGATCTTTCTGGGTGGGTGGTGTGTTTCGTCTGTTTGTTTGGGGTTTTTTTACTAAAACAATGAACTTTTAGGAAACATTCAAATACTAAACCCGTGCTAAACGAGAAGCCATGTATACTCAGATGATGCTGCTTCTGGGGAGGGGTGGATGGATTATTTTTTTTTAAACAGTGATCATGATCATCTCACAAACCGTTTGGAAAGGACTGGGGTTTTTTGTGCCAGAAAAAGACATTATTTGCAGCATATGTGGAAAGAAAATCTTTTGATCTATCTCAATACTAATGCAAATTTTTCCTGCATCTAACAGATACGGTGGCACAAAAAGGAACCATACAAGTAAATGATGAGCATCCCTCTGCTTAAAAGCAAAGGCCAAAACTTAATGTCTTTCAAATTAGGAAGGCAAGGAATTTAAATAAGAAATAGGCCTTGAATTTTACATTAAGTATTCATTTTCCATTAAGCATTCAGTGAGATTTAGCTGGAGCAGAACCTGCCTGCCATGGTCCCATGGTTCTCACGCAGCGGGCCCTTTCTAGTGCCACCATTTCTTAATATTTTACATTCAGGAATTGTAGAAGCTGAGACCACCTTCAGTGGTCAAAGACCCAGGGTCAGTGCTACTTAGGAGCAACGCTCCTGCGGTAACATCAACATCACCTTTCTTTCGAAGAGAGCTGAAGTCAGCTTCCCACCACCATCTCACAAAAGGTGTCAACAGCTGGCTCATAGGCTGCCGACTGACAAAAACTGGTCTATCACTTAAAACCGTTAAATAAGGCAAAGCCTAAAAGCCACGTTCCATCATTACATCTTTTAAGACCAACTGTCAAAGATGAGGGCTGTTAACCGAACAAGATTACATCTAACTCCTGCCATCACTGAACACTTCAAGTAGGCATGAACAGGCTATAATGTCCAAGCAGCCCACAAGCCAAGCATTCGATCATTATCATCTCCTGTTAGGCATCAATTCTACAGTAAATTATAACAGCATAAAGAATATGCCTTTTTTTTTTTTTTAATTATTATTTTGCGTGTTGCCCAAACCTAAGTGCTCTCTGCATGAGAATAAGCAGGCATGTGAAGAAAGGACCAACTCTGGTGACTGTCTCCGTGGTGTGAGAAAGAGCTCTAGATGCACAAAATCGCAGCGATAGGTAAAGGCAGCGAATCTCTGCTGGTGACAGCTGGCAAGGGTGAGTTAAAGCAGCCTGCCTTACAGAAGAGCCTGCTTTCAACACAAGTGATACTGAGCCAAAAACCTGGATAGAGCAGATGCTAAAGAAGCGCCCAGCAGCTCAGCAAGAGCTTTGCATAATCGTGAGTGCAGAGCAGGCAGCTGCAGGTAATACCACAGGGCTAGCTTTATGTGTGTCGTAGGGGTACTTACGGGTTTGTTCCAGCAGTCACAACAAAGCCAAGATACACAACACCGGAGAATATTGTCATTACTTCAGGAAAGAATTTGAGTGGTCTCAGCCCGAGATGAACAAAGTGAGTCACAAAATTCGGTCAGCTTGCCCTTGCTCCTGGCATTTCAGGAACCTGTGTCATAGAGTTACCTCATTATCGTGACTTAAAACCAACTTCTTCCTTGAAAGACTGTCCCCGCCCTAACAGGCACTGCAGTTCACTGGGGGATCGCCCTTTCTTCCTTCACACCCACCCACTTTTATCACCAAGGCCAATGTATTGCTGCTGCTGCTGTCAGTAGCTGTAGCCACCCCAAAGCATCTCTAGCCATGGAGCTAGAACTGTTTCATCCAAGCTCATTACGCTTATAGAAACAAGATAAATCCAAGACAGAAATAAGCCACTTTTTAAGCCAGGTAAGACCATCTGAGCAGGAGTTTGCTGTTAATTAAGGTGATGCTGTTTGTTATTGTGGCTAGAAGAAAGGAAGAAACAACAAGAGGAACTTGTAGAAAGAATCTGGTGAACCTGCAAATGGTTCACTTTAGAACTGTCCCTATACTCTGCATATCTGATCTGCTTTTACATAGCTCTAACCATAGGAAGAAAAAAAACTTGGGTTGGAACTGCTTTCCAGGAACATAAAAGTTTAAAATGCTAAGGGTAGCAGACAGGAAAATGCTCAAAATCAAAAGAGAAAGCAAAGGTTCATAGGAGGATTTTATAGACCATTTGTTTATTTTCTTTAACAAAACCAACATTAATTACTAAGGTGTTAAAATAAATTAACAGGAAACAACCTAATTTCAAAAAAACTCATGGAAGAATTTATGAAAATCAATATTTCAGTGGATATAATGAAAAATAGGAAATCCACCAAGATTTCCTTTCTCCAGTAATTACTTTCTGTAAGTCATTTCCACCCTAGCATTTCCCAAACAAACACATAACTATTAAAAGAGAAAAGAAAAAAGAGAGATCCAGCTCTAAACAGTCTCTCCCCTACTCCTGAAGCTTCTTGGGGAAAGCAGCAAAGGTAGAGCAGGAAAAAGTCAGTGGCTTTGGATTTAAACATGATTGTAATTTTAAATGTTAGCCAAGGTGCCTAGAAGCACAGAGAGGTGAAGATAGAT